CTATGAATTGTTATTCTAAATACAAAGAATTATGCAAAATTATGTACCTTGCGCAGCAGGTTTTTACTAATCTAGTTCAAAAATTAAAATCAAACATCCAGATTATTCTGAGGATGAATTCTCAGATTCTGATCTACCTCCACTTATTTCAGATTATTCCGATGATGAATTCTTGGATTCTGATCTACCTCCACTTATTCCAGATTCATTAGGGGTATCTCAAAGTGCTATCTTTACCGGTGGACCTAATAGAATGGTTTCAACCAATACATTAAATGCAACAAATCTTATTTCTGCAATTAGAGTAACATCAGAATTGACTGATTCAGAACAAATTAATTTATTAAATAATCATGCTCGAGCCATTAATCAATGATTACATCGACCGTGGTTAAAGTCTTTAGAAAGATAATTAATTATCCAAACTCGTTTATTTTTTCTGGCAAAAGATATAGTATATAATATAATTATTTTACCAATGTTCATAAAAACTCTCGTAGATGGAAGAATCCCAGTAAAAGCGTTAATCGATACAGGGGCTAAATCCAATACCATTAGCAAGAGCTTGTTCGATAAGCTTGAAGAAGATTATGGGTTGAAATGTTTATCTGGCGACAAAATCACAGGACTCCGTGAAAAATTCACGCACTTTTGCCAAGAAATTTTTAAACTTCGATCGCATACATGTCATCGATAGCAATACATCAGAATAAAAAATAATTCACAATATATACGATTAATTATACGAAATTAGCTACCAGGACTAGCTTTATTGATACGGTAAAAATAAAGTAAAATACACGCTACCACCACTCCGACCACTGAAAATTTTCCGGGTGATCGAACATTTATGTTACGCAATCGATTATTACATATAAGTAATCGCGTGACAATTCTTCATGCGTACATAATTTTTATTTACGGATTTGTCTCTCGTAATATGCCCGAAATAGATCTCGCCTGCCTGAAATAGATTCTACACCCGAAATAGATTATGAAACGATTATCCGCATGTCAAAAATAAATACACAAGCGATATATAAATATCGCCACAAATAAATTCTTATTGCGAAGCAGGCCGTAAGAATTATGGCTCTTCGAGCCTAGAATCAACTCTAAACTATTGCAAAGCAGGCCATTAGGCGAGAGATTTGAGACTCTGTCTCTTCTCTGAATCATGACCTTCGGGTCTACAATTCTCAGTTGTACGATTCGTAAGTCATGACTATAACAATGAAAATAAAATTATCGGAAATATCTTTCGAAGAAAGGAGACTTTGTCTCTTAAGATGCAGTGCGCAGTTGATAAATCGAATTAATTGACTATAATCACTGGCGCTAGTGGTAAATCTTTTTTCAATATGGGCCAACACCTTTTTCGATAATATCTTTGATGGAGGTGCCTCTATCAATACTTTCTCAGCATTTTTTTTAGT